ACCCCCGACGGGACCAGGGGGGGTAAAATCGCCAGCTTCTCGGAGTGTTTTGAGGCTTGGGAAGCCTCAAAACACTCCCAGAAACTGGCGATTTTGCTGGTGGGAGGAGCGTCGCAAGGGTCTGAGTGAGCTTTCCAGGACCCTTGCGACGCTCCCCCCACCTGGAAGCTGGCGATTTCGCTGGCGCTGGCCCCGTGGGGGGTGGGGGAGCGTCGCAAGGGTCCGAGGGAGCCTTCCAGGACCCTTGCCACGCTCCTCCCACCCCTCACCCGAACCCTTGCAACGCTCCCCCCCACGGGGCCAGCGGGGACGAAATTACTGCCTTCGCTCCACATTTGGGGGTGTGTCTTATGGAGTGTGTCTTATGGAGCAAAAAATATGGTATTTGCAAGACTAGACTGAGGATCTTGTTAGCTGCATATACTTTAAATTAACCAGATTACTACTATCCAAAATACTGCTGGAATGGTAAATATTTTATTCTCTACAATATTAATCTGTAGGGCAATGACCTACATATGTTCTTCCCAAGAATGTCAACTAGATTTGAGCCCACTCTGCAAGAGACAATCCAGCTTATTTGCAATTTAGGAACACTAATGTAGGTAAAGTAATCATACTGAACAATACCTTTCTCCACCACTGGAGGCGCTGGCGTAACCAATAGTCAAGCCACTGTCCTGCAGTTCGGCCAGAGCTGTACCACACCAGAGAGGCCACTGTCCTTTCACCTATTCTTTAAACAAAAAGTGGGCAACAGGTTAATACGAGACAAGCAAATACATTATTTTCCCAAAATGGGACAATTACACACAGTTACGCAAGTATGGAAAAACAATTGTGGCACCTATAATACTGTACCTCACATGATTCTCTTTTTCTGTTTCTGCCACAGGATGGAAACACGCTCCTATCTGAGCAACTCCAAAAGGGAGTCTCTTGTTTACCATTTCCAGGCACTCCACATAGTGCTCTAAGGCACCTATCAAAAAAGAAAACTAGATTTCAGCATGTATGGGACATATTCAGGGTTAATCTAATGTACAATGCAGCAAGTTGTGACTAGAGATGGGGGTATTAGTATAGAAATACCCACACATAGGCGGACATAACAAGGGTCCGCCCCCTGGGACTGGACCCTCCATTCACCATTCCGTCACTGCTGCGGGCTCCATGCTCCTTTCCAATCGCTCTGGAGCTTGTGGTTGGCCAGCCACTCCTGGCAGGAGGCAGGATGACAAGACTTGCTGCCAGGTCAAAGAGTGGCTCACCGACCGGGCACTCGAAGCATTTGGAAGGTAGTGTGGAGCCCACAGCAGCAGCGGAAAGGTGAGTGGATGGTCCAGCCCTAGGGAGCCAGACTGGATATTTTAAAATCAGTTTTCCCACAGCTAGCTGCTAGTGAGCCTAGTTAATAATTTCTTTTCATTAGTGCCTGAACATGGGGAATTGGGTAGATTCTTCGATTACATATGCCAGAAAAACTGGAACTATGAGATCCTTTATCTCTGACTAGAAACCAAGTAGTTTACCTGTTATTTGTTAGGCTATATTTGTGCATGAGTAAAAGCAGGTATTATGCAGAGTGAACACTGGGGAAGAGGAAAATGAAAAGGAGGATCAAAAGATGAGAGATGGAACGCTGGGATTGGAAGTAATAGATTTCTAACCAAGGTTGAGGGGGCAGATACCTTAATTAGTTAAAAATGAAATTAACTCAAGGATCTGCTCTTTCCACACAGAAATCAATACTGGGTTACCTCCAAGCTTTAAAAAATTGTAGTACTATAATTTCGAGCAGCAGCTGTACATCCATGCTTGAGTTTTTCTGCCTTTCTTATATAACTGCAGTTGCGGGAAAGGTGGCCATGTTAGTCTCTGCAAGCATTTACAGGTGAACACAAAATAAAGAGTAAATTTTCTGCCTTTCTTATATAACTGCAGTTGTGGGAAAGGTGGCCATGTTAGTCTCTGCAAACATTTACAGGTGAACACAAAATAGAGTAAAAAAAGACAAAAATGTGGTGGCACTTTGAAGACTAACTTGTATTTTTTTTAAACATTAGCTTCCGTGGGACAAGTCCACTTCATCAGACGTTTGTCTGAAGCCACCAGATTTGTTGTCTTTTTTCCACTCTTCACTTTTATTTTGTTTTCACCTATAATGCTTAAATAAGGGGGTGTCTGAAACCCTTGTCTATCTAATGCAACTCATCCAATGGACCCAAAGCTGCTTTCTGCCCACTCCTGAGTTTAAAAGATGCATTTCCTCGGCCAATTAAATGTAACAAAGCAACCCTAATCTTCCATGATATTCAATCCCCGCCTTCTCCCCCCCCCCAAAACCCCTCAAGAATACTCTGCAGGTTTCTTCCTCAAAAGTCGGGAGCGAAACAACCCCGGTGGCGGATGAGGACTAGGAGGCGGCTCGTTGGGAGGAAAGTGTGGGAAAGATACCGTGGAGAAGGCTGTCCCGCAGCACGGCGGAGGCCTCCATCATCCGCGGCAGGGCGGCCCGCGCCTCTTCTGGGCTCCACCGGCCTTCCTCCCAGGCTCCCCAAAGGGCTCCGGGGGCCACCACGCGAAGAGCCTCCCCGAGGGCGCTGGAAGGGCGAAGCACCGGAGCCTCCACTCCCAGCACCTGCTCCCTGAAGGCGACCACCACCGAGTCCCACCACTGAGCGGCCAAGTTCTTCCGCAGGTCCACTCCCAGGGGGCCAAAGCCCCGGTGGTCGCCCCTCAGGCAAGAGCCCCAGGCGGCCTTCGGGGCTTCCTCTCCGCCCCTGAGGAAGTGCCTCCGCCGGCAGACCTCCAGGAGGGCTTCGCTAACCCCGCAGCGCGGCTCTCCACCCGGACGGGGCGGCGGGGGGCTGCCGCTGGGAGGAGCCGTGCCATAAGGCAGCCGGGCGGAGAAGGGGGCAGGGGGCACCCCGAGAAGCCCCCGGGCCGCTCCGCGGGGCAGCGCGGCAAACGTGCGGTCCCCAGTCTGCACGCAGCGGGCTCCCGACGGGCAGAACCTCTGCTTCCCCAGGCATCGCTTTCCGGCTGGCTTTTGGACCCCGGGGAGCCCGAAGTGCCTCCTGCGGGCACAACCCTCCGCGCCCCGCGCCCCGCCGCGGACCCTGCGCAGAAAGAAGCCGAGCGCCGAGCCGGCGTCTCCAGCCAGCATGGCTTTTCCTGGCGCCCCGCCCCCTCCCAGGGAACAAGTCCAAGAGCGCCTGCGTCGCGCCTCAAGCCCCGGCGCGCGGGGTGGCAGAGACAGCGGCGCCATGGGGTTAGGCAAGGGTTGAACGGACCCAAATGCCTCATTTCCGGTTCCCATTCCGGTTCCCTTCTTTCTGTAATCCCCGGAGGCGGAAGTGAGTGCGGCCCATAGAAATGAATTGGAAGAGTAGGGTAGGGTTCAGGGGGCTTGCCTCGGGGCAGCTAAAATAGGCATTTACAATAGGTTTGTGTTCCCCTCGCTCACACAGCACCACAAAGTCCTTGCTGATTTGTTTCTTAACCTGGTCTCATCCTGTGAGAGAATTTTAACAGTGCAAGTATTATGCAGGCTTACTGAAAAGTAAATCCCACTTTGTCCCGCGGTAAGGTAGTATCGCGTTGTAATTTGCGAGTGTAATAAGTGGACCGACGGCGATATCACCCGAGGGATGCCTTGTGCCGGCCATTTGGGACTGGGAAGCCTGACCAGCCTCATTCTCACCTGGGATCTGAGAGGTTTATAGAGGCGGATCCTGCAGGGCTATCTAAGTACCTTACACACGTTGCCCTCAATCTGTCAGTACTGTGGGGGCGTAACAGTGCTGGACGACCCTACAGGGTCGTCGTTGCAGGAGGAGGCTTTCTCGACCCAAATCACTGACTCTTGCTCTCAGCCTGAGCCCAATCTGCAATTTTAAGGGCAGCTTAAAATTACAGATTTTAAGCCTGTTCCTTTCTCTGCCACAACCTCTTGCAGCTTGTAATATGGAGGCAAGATGTTGCATTTCCATTGATAGTACCCTAATGAGTGATGTTTTAAAATTTCCATTCCGACGAAAAATGCCTCCTCTCGAAGCATCCGGTTTTTTATTTGAACACCGCCTGGCCGGATCAAGGACACATTGCAGACTATAGAAGTGCATCTCTGGTCCTGGGGCGGCGGCGGTGGTGGTGGTGCGTTTCCTAGTGATCACTGATCACAGCTCGTATGTGCAGCTACCGATGCCATCTCACTCCCCCCCTTCGTGGCTTCCTCCCAAAGACTTGTCCACCAAAGGTTGTGCGCAACCTGAGTCCGCTCACCATTGCACGCCGCCTTCCATTCGCTTTTTTGCTGCCAGTTTACCCACTCTTTCCTTTTCCCCTGGGAAGGCATTCGCCCGGCGTCGCTGGAAGTCGAGCCAGGGGTACGATTCGAGCCAAGAGAGACAAGCCCGCTCAGCAAAAGCCGGCGTCCAAGTCAGAGCTGTGTCACTCTACCGACGTATCTCTATGGTCGCTAAGCTTTTGCACGCCAGGGGAGGTGGAAGAGTAAAGAGCCCGCGTGGTTTTCTCCATTTTGTGTTGTTTGGGCGACAGGAAGGTGGTGTGCCAATGAATGGAGACGCGTCGTGTTCTTCAGTCGAATTTACACGTTCCCATTGAGAGAGGCCCCAAGTAGCAATTTAATTAGATTTGCCATTGTATTCCCTGAAAACGGAGGCTTGCGTAGGCTCCTTTGCTTTACTCTGAATACTTGGTTAGAGCAATTGACCATATAAATACCCTGTTTCCCTGAAAATAAGACCTAACCTGAAATAAGCCCTAGTATGATTTTTCAAGATGCTCACAATATAAGCCCTGCCCCCAAAGATAAGCCCTAGTTAAGTGAAACCCCACCCTCCACCATTGTGGAGAAGAAGATGGCATGACTGTAGATTGTTGTATATGAAAAAAATAAAACATTCCCTGAAAATAAGCCCTAATGCATCGTTTGGAGCAAAAATCAATACATATAAGACCCTGTCTTATTTTCGGAGAAACACAGTATTATACATGAGGTATACAAATCTCAATTTTGAGTGGCGTGTATTAGGCTATTCTCTTTGAAAATTACATTAGCTTGTACAAAATGTAGAAACACACACACACATGCACACATACACACACTCAGAAGTTGCTGAACTACAGTTGCCATCATCCCTCCTTGTACAAAATGTAGAAACACACACACACGCACACACACTCAGAAGTTGCTGAACTGCAGTTGCCATCATCCCTGCTCGGTCATGATGCTGGCAGCCAGGACTGACAGGAGTCAATCCAACGTCTTGCATTCCTCAGATTGATCAGTGTGAATGCCAGAAGCTATGGAGAGTGGGCAAAAGGTCAATAGCGAAAATGTCAGGAGTACAGTTCTGCCTGTGAATAAGCCTCATTGAGATGGGCAGGACTTAACTTCCTGAGCAAATACACCCACAAATGCATTATTAAATACATGCTGTTGGCAAAATTAAAGGAGATTAAAAAGAACCACGGCCACACACACAAAAGCAAACAGTGACAACTGATTTATTTCAATGGGAGGTTTTGTGGATTAAAATCTACTTCAGAGACAAGGCATATAAATACTTTGTCCTTCATATTTATATATATTCCCATGGCAGTGGTGGAGATCATGACCAGGTGAACATACAGACAATAGACAAGGTGACAATACATCATTAACACAGAAATTGGACTATCAAGATGTTAATTACTGTACTTCAAATTGCAGGCTATACCTCATGCTGTTAGCAAAATTAATTATATCATGCAATAGCTAAGCATCCTACTGTGCAACAGATTATTTTCTCTGTAAACATGTTCAGGCCTGGGAGCATACAGCTTGCCTGAGGCTGGCTTTACTTGCAGGAGGCACAGTGAGGAATCCAACTCCCAACCTCTGGCTCCACAGCCAGGTACCTAACCCATTGACCTATGCAGCTACTTTACTAATATAATACAGGATAATTCTGTCCCCTCCAGCATCATATTAACAATGGACTACACTGGGGAAGGCTGATGCCTTTGAACTGTGATGCTGGAGGAGACTCTTGAGAGCCCCCTTGACTGCAAGGAGACAAGGAGATGGTTGGACAGCGTCATTGAAGCAACCAACATGACTTTGACCCAACTCCGGGAGGCAGTGGAAGACAGGAGGGCCTGGCATGCTCTGGTCCATGGGGTCATGAAGAGTCGGACACGACTTAACGACTGAACAACAACACTGTAGGTTTGTTGTAGCCTAGTATTTCAGGATGCTGCAAATTCCATCAGCAGTTCTGTTGAATTTTACTGTGGAACTATGTCTACTAAAAACTAACTCTGGTTGATTTCGGTAAAACTTAATCCCAGTAAAGTAGGCATAGGGTCACAGCCATAGATTTCCCCTTCCACCTTAGAGGTATTAATATCATTGGAGTTTCATCTGAGAGTTGTCTTAAGCAAACCTGACTTTCTGTTTCATTAAGCAGCCGGGAAGATGAATGCCTTTCCATTAAGTAGAGTAAAGCAGCTGTCTCAAGGAAGGGGTTTTTGGTCTCATAAAAGAATAATTACATTTAGTTTTACTGCAGGACTGAGACAGAGGAGTTGGATTTCTGCCTCCAATCCCAAACTTGTTTTGGGTGCTAGGCACTTTGAAGGTCACCATAAGTTGGAGGTGACTTGCTGGCACAGATCAACACCACCACTTTGATTGAAAGTGATTCAGGCTTTATTATAATCGGGGTGGCTGATACAAACGGACTACTGCTTGTTGCTGTCAGGACAGTTCCATTCCCTTTGGTCTGAGTCCAAGCCCAGAGACCTTTTGGTTAGCATCGCCAGGGTGAGTGTGGACGAGTCCCTTTTTTCCCTCCAGGAGGGGTTCCCTGGGTGGGCCAGCATGGCAGGGCCTGCAGCAAAGAGGACTTCTATGGCCACCCTGAGGGCCATGGTGACAGTCCCCTTCCCTCCTCCTTCACTGACCCTCGGAGAGCTGACGTTGCCACTCCTGTTGCCCAGGAGGTCTTCCTTATAAATGTATTCTCAGTCTCCTGATGTTTGGGGTTCTTTGGGGGGGGAGTATCTTTCTCAGCCTAAAAGGCCTCGTCGGGGTCCTCCAAGGGTTTTTTCCCCTCAGGCCCCCTCTTCCTCCTCCCCATTGGGCAGCTGGACCCCCTCCTCTGCTCTCTCCTCTGTTCCTGCCTCCAGCCCCTCTCTTCCATCCCATAATCTCCCATGGCCCCTCCTCCCCCTTCTCCTCCAGGGGTCGCTCTTCCTTACCAAGTTCTCTGTGGGGGATTCCCCCTCCAGGGACTCTCTCTCTCTTTGGGTTCCCCTTTGAGGTACGTCCAAATGCCAGATGCAGGGGAGGGGTATCAGGAGATGGGTCTCTAGTTGTCTTGTGTGCTCCCAGAGGCATCTGGTGGGGCCGCTGTGAGATGCAGGAAGCTGGACTAGATGGGCCGTTGGCTTGATCCAGCAGGACTCTTCTTCTGTTCTAGTGCTCTGAGTTCCTTACGCATGGGTTCCCATGGGTCGGAGTCACCCCCTGGAAGGTTTAAGTGCCTTTTTTTCCACTTTTTCCAGGTATGTGGACGTGGGTGAAGATCAAGATTCAGGAAGTACAGGCCTTCACAGACCATAGAAATGCAGTGGACCCAAATATCAAGTTCACCAGGGAAGACACCAAAGATAGCCAGCTGGCTTTCATGGACTGTGCAGTCATCATAGGACCCAACGACATCTTAGGAATAGAAACCTACAGAAAACCTACACACACTGATCAATACCTGCGGTTTGACTCTCATCACCCATTGCAACACAAACTAGGGGTTATCAAGACCCTAAACCGCAGAGCAAGAAACACCTCCACAGAAGCCAAGAAGAAGGAAGATGGACATCTGAAGACAGCCCTTAAGGCCTTACAGTGAGACTTTCCAAATGCTTGCTTGCAGAAAACAAAGGGGAAGAATAAAATGTGACTCACTCCTGAGCATCTGGAAATTCCAGATGAAACCATGAAGTGGATCTGAGAGACAGGAATAGGTATCAGGCTAAATGAGGAGAAAGCTATGGTACAGCAAGGAGTCACCAGCACATAGGTGGTACTGAAAACTTGGGAGCTGACAAAGTCCACAAAGGATGAGTAGCCAAGGATGAACATCGCTGGAAAACACAAACAGAAGACGTCCTACAGGAGAGTGTTGGTGCCCAATAGGAAGAAATGCTGGCCCAGCTGGAGACCTAGAGCAAGGAATTTTTCAGAATTGATAAGAACCAGTTCTAAAAGCATGTCAACTTAATGTGAGAGAATAAGAAATTCAAAG